ACTGAAGAGAGACTGCTCTACAATCCAGTACCCACTGGTATCAAACCAGGGCTCACCCTGTATGCAGTTCCCTGCATTAGCAGCCTGAGATCTACTTTTGACTTTTTTAAAACAAAGGAGATCTTTTAGCTGCTGTGCACCCTTACGAACCTGCACGGGAGGCGAAGGTGTGAGGATTGTAGATGAAGTGGAGATAAAGCCTACACCAGAATAAAGCAACACATAGCATGTTGCATGACAACACTGGAAGTTCTCAGGAAGTAAAAAAGGGATGGGGTTCAGACTCCAACTGACGGAGGAGCTCCGAGGACAACGTCTTTACTTCAGTCACATTGGCAGAGGAACTCCTCAGATCATAGCTGGACTGGCCATCGGGCATACCGGGCATTTGTCCGGTGGGCCGCTGGCGATTTTTTGTTTTATGGGCCGATGGATTTTTTTTGTTTTTTAGGAAGGGTATATATAATGAAAGGTGTTGGATTGGCCAATTGGTCATGATCGACTCTGGGCTGGACCAATTACAGCCGAGGAGGCCGGATGCACCCTCCCCCTTGTTTAGCAATCACGTGATTTTCGCGCATTGCATGCCGGGAACTCGTGGCAAAACAATCCAAGTACCGCATCAAATGCAAGCGTTTGCAGCACCGCAAAACTTTCATTCTCCGGTTCCAATAACTTCTTGTTTTTTCTTTGCCGCACAAAAAAGGAATGTACAAAACAAAAGGAGAACAATGCCGGTCCGTACAAAGACAGACTCGACGAAAAGACAAAGAAAAGATACGAGGAAAAATCAAAGGAGTGAAAGGGTCAGACCCTTACGAGTGGACAAAAGACGTTAGCGTGCTGCCCAACTTTCACCACGCTCATATTTATAATTATACGGTTCTTGGAGTGAGTGCATACACTCATGAAGTTTAGTAACTTCAGGTCACTGCAACAAGCCCAGGTACAGTTTACCGACGGATGGGTACAGGACCTTGAAACGCACTGTGTAGAACGAAAGACCATCGTACGTATCATAAGTTTACCAGTCTCACAAATCGTTTTTGTCAGTGTACCATGGTAATAACAGAAGCGAAACGCAATATTGTGTCAGGACAATTCACTATTTATGCACAATAAACAAAGGAGCATAGCGCGACAATTTCTGTTCAGCGCCAAACTTGCTTGTAACCTATATCACCAATTATGTTAAGAAAAATGACGTCTTAACTACTACAAAACTCTGACCTTTGTGGAAATGCTTGGAGCAGACTAACATGTGAGCTGGAGTGTTCTGGGACGTTATATTTGGTATATCCAGACCATCCGTCGGCTCTTACTTCGGAAACATGGCTTACAAAATTTCTCTTCAACGACGTAATCCGATAAAAAAAATTATCTCTTTACCCGTCGGCTTCCCGTGGCTGTCATGCGACCGGCTGTTGCAGTTAATAATACAACAGCTTCTTGCCATTTTTTGGGTTTCTTTTTATCGCTGTGTAACTGAGTTCAATTGAAAGCCTGCGTGCGCTAGTACCTCTTGCCACAAGTTCCCAGAATCCTTTGCGGTTTTACCCCTGAATGACGTCACATTTTCAATCTTTATCCTGGTGGGCCGGTCTCTAGTCAAAATGCCCGCGCCGATTTTTTGTCCCATTCCAGCCTTGCCTCAGATGAAAACTGGCACCGGGGAAACAACCCAGAGCTTCCTCCCCAGCTCCTCCAGTTGCAACAGTGAAAGATTTTGTTGTCTGTATTTGGCTTCACCAAAACTACCACGGCGATATCCCACACGCCAAAGCAACAGAGGAATGCGCTCCTTTTGACCACAACACACAGGGAACCAGCAGTTAGTGATGGGTAATAGAGGAAGCCTGGAAGCAAGAAGCAATCCTGGACTACAATAGGCACAAATACAGCTTGGATAACTTATCTTAAACTATTATCTTAAACTTAGAGAGGATGCTGGCACCTCGAGTTGTAGAAGGAAAACTAACTGATGGCTGCTGGCTCTTTCCTCCAATCTCCTGGATGTCTTGGGATACGATGTCTTTGTCCCACCGGAAACAACTTCACTGAAGTGGGGGAGTCCTCTACAACCTACAAATGAAGAGTGATCCTGGGAGAGCTGGGACACATGCTTGTGACCTCAACAACTGCAAGACACCCTTGTCCCTAATTCCCAGCCACTTCTGCCAATGATCTCAAGATACAGTAGTCTGAACCAGTGTGACCCACACCCCACCATCAAAATGAGAAGAAGGTGCAAAAGGTGCAAAAGCGTAGTAATAATACATAATCTGACTGGTATTCAAAGGGTATAATATATGAATATGAATTATAGTTTGGTTTTCATGACTAGGAGTGGTGCTAATTTTAAAAAATCAAGTCAACGAAAGTAGAAAAATGTTTTAATATATATTAATTTTATAGTATTTGGTAAACATAAACAGGGGGTGGCCACGAACAAGCTGAGAGGGATTTTTCTTGTTTTTCTGTCACTGCAAAAAAAACCAAAGATGCATAAAACTCATTGATACTTTTAATTATTGCTATTCATCTAACCTCCACCATGGTTAGAAAAGAAATCAGTTTGCATGTATTATTTAGAAAAAAATGGGGATTTTATGCTTTTATCTCTATGTAAATCATTAAAATTATGTGATTTAACTGGTATTTAAAGGGTTAAAATTATGGATTTGATTGAAATTTTGGTCTTGATGAACAGCACTGATGCTAATCTTAAAAACCAAGTCAAAAAAAAAATACAAGAAATTTCAGTAGCAATGCAATTATATACAATTGCGAGATTTGAGGTTGTCTTCCAGCTAGTGCAGTGGACAAACAAACTGGTGCTTAAAGGGTTATACATTTAAAAAGTAATAATTATCTTATATTTATGAAAAGAACTGAAGTTACTTAAAAGCTTTATGCAGAAAAAATGGCAAAAACAAAACAAAACATAAAAATAATAAAAAATTACAGACCTAATCTGTTGGCCACTTTTGGCCACGAACAAGCTGAAAGTGATTTTGAACAAACCAGAGGGTTAAGAGGGATAAGCATAAAGGGAATATTGTTTTTACATTAAATAACCTTTCTACAACATGTCTAATTAGCTCAACAAACATCAGCAAACAAACAAACTAGCTAAAGTTCCTGACTTAGTTCCAGGGAGAAAAACAAAGGAGAGCTAACTTCACTCAGAAATAGTGAAAGATCTAAGAAAAGGCAAAACAGGACAGGAAGAAGAGAGGTTACATTTAAATGTAAGGGCTGCTTACTAACACTGCAGATTTAAAAATTATATGTAATGTCATGTGAAGCATCCTGCAAAAAGTAAGTATACTAATTTTGTGTTATTCAAATGTTGTATTACATTCTGGGTAGTTTTTTGCAGGATAAACAGGTTAGCTTACATGTGGTGATTTTTTTACTGTAAAGCACTGTGTTGTGCACTGATACACTGTGGCTGTGGTACTTATGGCTACTGTTGGGTTACATCAAGTGTAGCAGAGATTAATTTACATTTAAGATGATGATGCTTAGATTCATTCAGTGAATTCAATCATTATCCTACCTTTATACTGTTTATTATAAAGAACATATACAGTATACTATTAGTGTATGAAATGAAACTCAGCCAAGATTAGAAGCTTAGAAGCATCTAATTCCATCTTGTTGAGTTCAGATGTGTAAATCCACAAAGAGCAGCAGGTCAGTTGATCACAGCTTGTCCACTAAGAAAATCTGTCAGAGTTCATGTTAGAAATCATTGTGAGTTGTTGATATTTTCCCCATGCTGAGCCACTACAACAGATCTTTGTGTTCCCTCACTTGCAGACTCTCACTTTAACCCCTCATTGTTCTGTTCAGGTGTGTGTCCCACTCTACCATGTAGGCAACAGAAAATAGTATTTTTTTTAATTCTCTTTTACTGCTTGTGTCCTAGGTAACAGATTCAAGTACATCCATTAGAATTTCGGTTTGGATAAAACTAGTATTTAGTCATGCACTAATATTATATTCGCAGAAGGTCCAGTTACCTGTGCACGAAAATAGATGATAGAATTGTCTTCACTGAGCTACTTTTTACTTTCTTGCTTTATGTCTATGGTATTCACTTTTACTTGAGTAAAGAAGTTGACTCAGTACTTCAAAATTTACTAGAGTATTTCTTAACACAAGTATCTGCACTATACAATGTCTGTACTATGCATGCCACCTCTGTTGAAATAGCATGCATATATAAAAAATTAGTATGAGAATTACAACACAAAATGCTTTCTCAATCTAAGCAACACTTCAAGTAATACACAGTGTTGTCATTCAGACAGATATTTTCCATTCATTCTGTTCCTTTGCTGTTTGCTTGTCTTACCTTTGAAATCAGTTCTTGTAAGGATGATAGTGGTTTTAAGATATAATGAAACAAGCCTTAATCAGACAATGAAACCGGATGGAGGTTAATTTTGAAAAAGACCAATGCAATGACAACATTTACCTTCTCAGGAGTGTTTTTGTTTAATAAAACAGAAAAATTACCTTCTTTGCTCCTGAGAGGACTAAGGTTTGATGGTGTGTCAGTGCTGGCTTGCACACAGTACACCTCCCGAGTCTGAGTACCACCTCCACACATTCCTGTATGGTTTCCACGTCGGCGGTCCTGCTGGCTCAGTAGCATGTCCACCTTGCACTCTGTCCATTCTGTGGTCTTCCAGCTGTACCTGCGGATGTGTGACAACAAGAAGAATATATAGGTATAGCTCCTTTGTGAATCAATAAATAAACTGATAACATGGAACAACATTTTTGCTCATTATTTTCTAAGAAAGATGCAGATACAAGCAAAAACTATTAAACTGTGAAGGTGAAGTACAGCTATTGAGACCATTAATCAGCGAGTCGCACAGCCTACTTGATAATAGGCTTCATTTTCTGACTATCACACATACTTTCAGCTTTAAGGAGCTGAGCAGGTCTTCTGTGCCATTGACAAGTTGCTGCTTGTCTTCCTGCAGCGACTGCTGACATATTAATTTAGTGTTTCTGACCATGAAACAACGGTCAGAATAGAATCAAATCAAACTAGCACATGACTTCGAGTAAATATATGGTTTATAAAAAAATGTGTAAACATGCATCATGAAGGGGCTCACAGAGACCACAACAGTTTTCAATGAAGTGTACAATAAGAGTAAAATTGCTGTATATTATTTATATAGGTGTGTGAGTTGATTAGAGTATTATGTGAAGGTAATCCTTTAAATAAGGAAAGAAGAAAAGAAAAAGGTGCTAGCAAAGAGATTTAAAAGTAATTAGAAAAAGGAAAACATTTTTGAAAATGACAGAAAGGAAGAGAATGACTGTAACTAAAGTGGAGTGAGTGTCATGGTCCCCATGCCTGTGCAGCCGGCCCTGCAAGGCTGCATGTGTTTTTGTTTACTCTCCCTTTCTCTTGCCTCTCCGCCTGGGCGGAGCTCACTGCGGGCTCCCGCCCTTGGCCCTCACACCTGTTGCCCGTCAGGCTGCCATTATGTGTGTGCCATTTAAGGCCGAGACGCAGTCTCAACGCTGGATGATTGTGTGAGACACATTAGTGAGCCTCTAGCCTCAGTGAAGTTTCCGTGTGTAAATCTGTGATTCTGCGTAACCGATCTCTCTTGTGAGTAGTTTTATTGGACCTGTAACCTACCCGCTGTGTGGACATGTGTGAAGAAGAGAGCATGTGTGAGAGAGCTTCCCCTTCTCGGATTTTCCCCCTGGACCCTAGTAACTCCGAATTTCCCCCACTGTATATATGCTGCACCTGATGATTGTGTAAATAAAACTGAACTCTGCTCTGCGCTTGAGTCCCCGCCATCGCTTGTGACAGTGAGCTGATCCTGAGATCATTTGGATCAAATGATGCTCCACCCCATATGGCAGTGCAGATGTAGGCCTTAAGCAATTGATGATCCAGTAAGTGTGACTAGAAACAGAAAATGTAAAAGAGAAAATCTTGCTAAGCACCAATGAGGTGCCCTCCAGTGGACTAATCGACTATAAGTGATTCATGAGTTAATAATAAGTATAACTAGAAGCAAAAACCTTAAGACCACGCATGTATAAGCAAAACAAGAAATTAGATGTGACCGAGCATGCTTGAATGTGGACATTGTTAGGGATAGTAATGTTTATATAGGAGCACTGACTGTGATCTATAATCTACGGGCAGTGGTGAATAATATATTGGTGATACAATGTAATCAGGACAAAACTGATAATAAAGTTATGAATAAACGACCAGAATAAATAAATAAATAAATAAATAAATAAATAAATAAATAAGGCAAATTAAACAGGATATGGTATAAATGCAATAAAAAATAGACAGGCTAAATACTGTACTATGTAAACTCATATTAAACAATAATGGGATATCTATAAAGAAAAAAGGGAAGTAGCAGTAAAGATGAAATCATTGCCTGAATATAAACTCAAAACAAACAGAAACTCAAGGAATGAGAACATTTTTGGGTTTAGTATTGAAGTATCAAGATGATGCTTTGGTAAACACATCACTGCAGACGTGTTTACCAAAGCCAAGCTGCAGTAATCGAGCAGATTGTGTAATCAGCCACACTCACAGCAGCCCTAGAGTTAAATCCATTTTTGGGAATTCCAGAGGTTTTTGGAATGAAGATGTAAATAGCAGCATGTGAACAGCTTTTCCTACACTAACACAGCCTCTGATAGTCAGAGAGGTGAATGACCCCATAATTCTAAATGTTCCAGGAAGTTTGGCTCCTTGGTCACAGGAGAGGAAAGCCTGGTTAAGAGCACAGAAGCATCTTGTGACAGCAGAGTGGCTGAAGAGCTGTCGGCATTGAAGGACTGGATGGAGTACACAAGGAGCGAAAAAATGAATGCTGACCAAATAGCAGGCAGAGCTGACCGACTGGAAAATGAAATCAGAGAAACAATGGAAGCTGAGAAACAACCAGATAGACTAGATCTGCACGTGTACCATACACACCCTATTTGCTAGAGAAATTAATAAACCAGAGATGTTGGAAGAAATTTCTGGCACATGTAAAAAGTGTGGTCGAGGGGATACAAAATGAGAGAGCTGGAGCAAAATTCAGCCTGTGGCATCCCTCACCAGATCTGGGGGTCCAAAGGCTCATTGAGTGGAACATGAAAGAAAACTCTCTCCGAAAAGAAAAGCAACTACATAAACACATCCTTCACTTTCCCAATGACTTTTCTCATCACAGAGTGAATCCTTTTAAAGATCCATTAATGAATCAAAATAATAATCATTGGTGCCAGAAGGAAGTCCTTTTGATCACTCTTCTGGCCCAAAAGAAGATCCTACTGCAATCTAGGGTTGGCAGATAAGCTGGCAGACCTCACTGAGGGTGCAAATTAATTTATCAGTGCTTTAGAGGAGAGCAGTGCTGGAGTAATGCTGGAGACATCAAAGTTCTGTTAATGCATGTGGTAGGTAAACGCGTTACTGGAGATGTGTTTACCAAGGCTAAGCTCCCACAGTTATGCCAAAGGAAAGACAGTGAAGGGTTTGGAGGACATCACACAGACATGTAGGATGTACTGAGAACATTTTATCCAGAAAGAGTAGACCCCTCCAGAGTGAAGGGAGAAAAAATTACAGATGAATAATATCTTTCCAAATTTCTTCACAACTTTCAAAGCAGATTCAAAGGTGAAACAGGCAGTATTTGGAACAGAAACCCTGTTTAAGGTAATGACAGTGGAGGCCATGCTACATGAAGTGCAAAAGTGAGTGGAAATGTGGTAGGCCTGAATAAGCTGGCATGGCTGTTGGTTGTAGATCATATTGTCCATCATGTTAACAATTAGGAAAAACACCAAGCAAATAAAATGAACAAATGTTTGACAAATAAACTGAGACAACTAAAGCTGGGAAAACTAACCAAAAGAAAGACAAGATGAAAGGTGCTGTTGGTGACCACTGATCCAGAAGCAAACCACAAGCACCAGCTCTAGCTGTAGCAATGCTGCAACCTTCAGCACATCGTTAATCCAACAGGTCCTTGAGGCAGATGAGGTGAGTTAACATGACCAACAACCAGGACTAAGGCAGTCTGGACAACACCAACTGTATAATCATTCTCATCCCACACTTCAACAGAGTGAAGAACTCATTGTTATTTATTCCTGGTGTCTTACTATTTATATTTTATTCCTGAACATTTGGCGTGGAGCACCCATAATTTTGTTGTACACATACAATGACAATAAAGGGCTATTCTATTTTAGTGCAAATAATGTATGTTGGGGTTACAATTAGCATGGTCATTGAAGGAGAGACTATCCCGTTAAACAATAGAGCGACTCTGGTATGACATGAATTGAACTTACTATTATCAATACTAGATGAAGACCCATCATGCATTGGTGATACCGTGCTTGAATGAGTCACATAAACTAGGTCCCATGTGGGAATCTGCTCTGAAAGTACTTGAGTGGATTCTACCTGAAAATAAACAAATTCATGTTTCAGCAGCAGTGATTGGTACCATTAGAATATTGATAAATGTTTGTGATGGCAGCCAAGAGCCTGGTGAGTAAGACAACCATGGAAATTACTCTACAGCAAGCAATAGGTATCCGCCCTCTATTGAAGTGTTAATAAATCATAGGTTTCTGCAATACAACAATTTTTAGCAATTCAACATCCTGACTCCAAGACTATTGTTTGGTCCGTTGCCTCAGAGCAATCAATGCATCATGAATCACTGCTTCACACTGTTGTTTCTGATGCTCAGCTGTATACTGTGATTGATTTGTGTTCAGCTTTTTTCATTTACCCTTGCACTGCCATGTGAAGGCTGTGTGCAGGCAGGAAAAGGACCCAAAGTGCAGACTCACGGCAGGCAAAAGTGCACTCCAAAACTCAGCATTGATTGCTGGATGACAAAACGTAACAAAAGCCCAAAAACACAAAACACTGGGTCGACGACCCAGGCACCCTAACATGCACCTTGATTCACAAATTCTCTTTGGACAGTCGTACACCTATACCACCTGACCTAGGTTTGAATTGCAATTCAGCCAACAAAAACACACAGAAGTGTCTTGGTAGACAACTTTGTGGGGAAAGGATGCTGATGACTGTCAGATCTATTTCCCTTTAAAGAAAAAAGGCACATACTCTACACAGCCATTACTTCAGTGTCTCGATGACATTGAGGCTTGGATGTCTCTTAACTTTTTAAAATTCAATGATAGAAAAACAGAGGCGATGGTTTTTGGTAGCCCCACCGAGACCCCCGATGTGTATTTAGATACCTTGGCACAGTATGTTAAACTAGCTGTCACAACCCTGGGGGTCAAAGTGGACTGTGATCTGAAGTTTGAAAATCAGATTAAGGCAGTGATAAAAAGCTAGCTTCTTTCAGCTCAGGCAGCTGGCAAAAAAAAGCAATTAGGACACATTTCCCCTATTTTAGCTTCACTTCACTGGCTGCCCATTTCTTTTAGGATTCAATTTAAAATTCTTTTATTTGCTTTTAAAGCTCTCCGTGGCCTAGGCCCATCTTATCTCTCTGAGCTGCTACAGCCTTATACACCCACCCGCTCTCTCAGGTCAGCTGATCAGCTGCTCCTGAATGTACCCAGGACTGGGCGTAAACTTAGAGGAGATCGTGCTTTTGCTGTAGCAGCTCCCAATCTCCCTTTAGAGATTAGACAGGCCACT